GTTCTTCCTACTTTCACTTTCGTTGCACCTTATGGTTTTTCAGACTCCTTGAAAATGTAGTTTTCCTCTAAATATGTTTGTGTTTCTCCCAATTTACTATGTTGTGCTATTATGATTCGTTTGATACGTTATTTGACAAGTTTAAGGTTTTGTTTGGTCTAAATCTGGTAGGACTAATCATGCCAACAATTTTTCCCTTCCTGCAACTTGAAATGGAGCAATAGTTCTTGAATGGAGCAATAGTTTTTCCCTTACTGCTATTATATATTGTGTAGATTTATCCCACCTCATGCCAACAATTGGGAGAATGATAGGCCCATTTTTAAGGTTTTTTAGACTCCTTAAAAATGTAGTTTTCCTCTTATTATGTTTGTGTTTCTCCCAATTTGCTATGTTGTGCTCTTATGATTCTTTTGATACGTTTATTTGACATGTTTAAGGTTTTGTTTGGTCTAGATCTGGTAGGACTACTCAGGAAAGTGTTAAATATGTTTGTTTGGTGTTGAACAAGATAAAAGAGAACGCATCTATGGAAGAGTAATGATTTTTTTTTATCAACATAGCACTTGCACAAAATTACCAATTAGTTAGATTGTTGTGGTTATGTAGGAAAACAAGCTTTTCTGCTGAGAATGCTCATCTTCTTGGAAAATACAAATTTGATAAGTTTTGGTCTTCATTATACCTATTATGGTTCTGGTCAGTATAAGCATTATTAACATTCTGCAATCTGATTTTATATTTTAGTTCATTTGGCTTTAGATTGGTTTATCCTTTGGCAGAAGTCAAGGTGGAGAAACCAGATGATGGAGTAGCAAAGAATTCCATGGATGAAATCCAGATTCAGGGTCCATACACCAATAGCGTTGTTGGCAAGCGTTGTCTCTACAAAACATGAGGGTGTTTGTTACTTTATTCTAAACGTAATTTTCACATTTTCCACTTACGGGTTATGGTTTAGACACGACATTAATGTTCCCATTTTCTCGGTATCATGTGTTATTTAGCTTTTTACTTGGTAATTTGTTTGTTATCTTTGTGCAGGTTGCTTTTGCTGACTTACGGTATGGAATGTTGTTGAGGAAAATTTGTTCTTGAGTGTTGATGTCAAGTAGATATAGGTAGTCTGTAATAGTCTGTAGTGTTGTCCATTATGATTTCCCTCTCATTTTGCTGAGCTCAATGGTTTTTGCTTGGGGAGATGCGAGTTTATTTGTCATCGTCGATATATTGTTTCGAAAAAATTCTGACCACGGAAAAACGACTAGACATACCATTGTCTAAACATTTCACGCGGTGTAGTTATGAGTGTCGATATATTTTTTGCGACGTAGCCATGGATATTAATTCTAGTATTTTATGAATTTTATGGGAAGAGAACTGATAAAAATCCTAATTCACAATTCTGCATTTCCCTAGAAAATTCAAACAATTTAGCTCCATAGAAGAAATATCCTACCAAGCTTCTAGAATACCTAGGAAAAATATCTACCTTCTAGATACTAGTTTTAAAAAATCAAGCCTACCACCATACAAATATCATGGTACTTTCATCAAACTAACATGATATTTTTATCACCTAAATATCATGATATTTGTGATTGAAGAAGGCATGGAATTTATACGTAGCCCTCATTTGACGCTTGGTATGGAGTGAGCAATGAAAGGCAAAACAAATAGGGAAAATAATAGAGAGTTGTGAGAGTGAGTGAGGCAATAATATTGCTTATTGAGAATTGCAAACCTTTGATTGATAATAAAAATCCTTTGAGTTCGATCCTGAATACCACTTTATTTTCGTTTGTGCCTAACAAGAACAAACTCCATCATAATCCAAACCTACCTTCTATACATTTAAATCAATCCATAAGGCATCATCATAGTTGACATACCTGGAGACATAATTCTGAAATACTCAACCTCTGAAGGAGTCTTCAGACACAATAACTTAATTCCTAAAGGCTTAATCCTTGCGGCTGAACCAGTGGTCCAGCATGTTGAGCATCGGGGGAGAAGGTTCCCCGAAGTAAACTCCCTTTTAGTAATTCATTCCATGCTTCTCGACCACTTTAACTGCCCAATCAAACTTTGTACAGAGGGATTCTTAGTAAAGGATGAGTCTTGTTGAAGTTTTTTGCTCGTGGAGGTGAATTGCACCATCCAAGTCCTCAACGAACTCCGCGGAGAAAATCTCCTTGTCATCGTATTTGCTTTTTCTTGACAATTATTTCATGAGTAAAAATGGATAATCATCTTAGGGTTTATGGGTTTCCACTGATCTCGTTCTACTTGAGTGATGGATAATCATCATGCAAGGGTTAGAGTACTTGAGTTTATGCGAGTGGCTAAATGTAGATGACTTTGAGAAATGAAAACATGAAATTTTTGTCAAGAAAAAGCAGATTCGACTATACAGAGATTTTCTCTATGGAGTCCATTGAAAACTTGGATGTTGTAATTCACCTCCACGAGCAAAAAACTTTGAGCATGAATCGTGCTTTACCGATAATCCCTCGGTCCCAAGTTCGATTGGACAGTTAAAGACATAAAGGAGCATAGAATGGATTACTAAAAGCGAGCCTACTTCAGGGAACCTTTCCCCCGAGGTTTAACATGCTGGACCACTGGCTTAGTCGCAAGGATTAAGTTGTTAGGAATTAAGTTATTGTGTCTGAAGACTCCTTCAGACGTTGAGCATTTCAAAATTATGTCTCCGTGTATGTTAACTATGATGATGCCTTACGGATTGATTTAAATGTATAGAAGGTAGGTTTGGATAATGATGAAGTTGTTCTTGTTAGGTACAAACGAAAATAAAGTGTGATTCAGCATCGAACTCTTATGATTTTTATTACCGGTCTATATCATGGTGGTAATACTCGGTATTGCATAAGTTCATACCACAGTATAGAATGGTTGAATACATGAAAGTAGTAATATACAAGTTGTTATTTACCACATTCATCATTGTTTAACACCAGTTGCCACCTCTATATCAGAATGGTATGCAGTGTTATATTTTGGTCCTGTATATTTACCATAAATTTGTAGATCCAATATACACGATGAACTCTTTCGTTCTGTACAAAAGTATTCAAAATTTGAGTAAAAAACGAATGTGATACGAAGGAGGTAGCGAGTGGTATGAAAAATTTCTTGAAATATGTAGAAAATGGATCTCATTTTGTAAATCACAACGAACTAATTCCACCTGTGCAGTAAAAAAAGGTTTTGAAATCCAAATCAAAACAAAAAAAGATAAGAACCGATTAACAATGTCGTGAAAACCGAACCGAAGTATGAACCGACATAGTAAGCGATTTACACTTTATTAGTATAACCGACATTAAACTGCTAACAACCGTTAACAAACCATTGCCTTATTAACAAGCGTGTCATAAGTAGCATTCTAAATTTATATATGAATGCTAAGCAATGATTAAAGACATCTTATTACTTATGTAATTTAGTTTTGAATACTATATAGTAATTTATCTGGCTGACTTTGGCAATTTTAATTGGGTTGTGGTTGTGGATGGGCGAACAGAGTGATTATTAGACTTTTTCCAAATGTTTGACTCGTTGTGCTCTTTTTGAAATAAGCAGTGTTGTCAAAACCAAATCGGACATCGATTCGGATAAATAAGAGGTTTAAGGTTTATCGGATAATCGTTAATTAACCGGTATTAAAAACCGATCATAAACCGGTACTGGATTGTAGATAAAGAAAAGAATAATAGAATAATAATAAAAAAAGGTCAAAACTCAAAAGGTACGTGAATGTAGAAGTAAGCGGTGACTTCTCATTTTTTCGTTACCTTTATTGTTTTTTTAATTATTAAGAAAACAAAATCCCAGTAAAATAGGCGACTGTTTATTTCCCCAAACCCGCCCGCCTTGATGCTTCCGGGCAGGTACGCAACCAACTTAGGAGAAGGGGGGCCATGGCCCAGGTAAGATATGATTGTTATCTTGATAACTAACTAGTTTGTGGCAAAATGGTTAGAGATGGAAGTTAGGCTCAATATTATTGAAATGGTGTTGGGTTTCATACTCACTCTCATCCTTTATTTTTGTCTTTACTTTTCACACTTTTTCCCATGTATTTTACTCTGTTTTTATGTCTTTTTAACGTTTTTCCTAAGTAAATACATATCCCATTCCCAATATTTTTACCTAGATAAATTTTAATTTGTTTAACTTTTTTTCGGTAATACTATTTTTTATGTTTGCCCCATTTATTTGCAGTTAGTAGCTTTAGTTATTTGGATATTAAAAAAAATTCATGCACAATTGATAGTTTATTCATGATAATACTTACACATAATTTGTATTATCTTTCTATACCAGTATAGTGGATATGTAGTTTTCACTGTGAAATATAGTGTCGTTACATGATACAAGATAAATCGTATGTTGAGGTTCACGTGTATAATCAAATCAAATTATTTAATTACATGGAATGAGTTGTGCTGTAATTTTAGATATATTTTATACAAATATTGTGTTGCGAATATAAAAAAAAAATTTGGCCCCATGTTTTCACTGTGATGTATAGTGAGGTTATATGATAAGTGATAAATCACATGTTAAGGTTCACGCTTATAACAAATCAAATTATTTACATCGAATAAGTTGTGTTGTAATTTTAGATATCTTTTTATACAAAATTGTGTTGTGAAAAGAAAAAATTTCGGCCCCCTACCCAAAAATCCTGGCTCCGTCCATGCTTCCGGGACCGAATTGGTGTCTGGACCCGGTTTTTCCGGTCTGACCGGCCGGTCCAGCCCGGTTTTCACAAAACAGGAAATAAGTCAGCTGGCAATATAACGCTTAACATATTAACCGACTTCAAGCTCCCCAGGAACGCGTAACATATTAATAGACTTCCTCCACTCCATTCCACTAAGAGGATCAGACGCTAGGGAAAAAAGTCCCTTTTATATTTGCATCTATTTTTTTTTTGTCAAAAGATATCATATATTGATCATTAAAAATAGTTACATCCTGGAAACCAGCCAGGCCCTGAAATCAAACGAACGATACATAGTAGGAGACAAAGAGAGGGCCTTTCTAGCTACTACATGAGCTACCCTATTGTTCTCCCGCCCTATAAATCGCACACTAAAACCCGGCTGGGCACACAACAAAAGACCAATTTCCTCCAGGATCGCACCCAACCGATTCTCTCTAGCGTCACCCTGATTGATTTTATCAATAAGCACCTTAGCATCTCCCTCAAACCGGACCTCCGTCAACCCACTATCCAAACACCAAGTAATAGCCTCCCGAAGCGTAAGCAACTCCACCATCGCCGGCGCATCCAACGAGGGAAACTGAACCCCCTTAGCCAGAAGCAGCATCCTATCAGGGGTGAGAAGAACCATCCCACCCGCCGAATGCGAGCCACTTTTAGTTGCCCCATCCCATCAACAAATCAACCGGGAATCTCCCACGGCAGCCTCAGCAGGCACCACCAGGCTTCTGACCATAGGCTGCCCATCCGCCGGCAAGGCCAACCACTCCTCATACTGCTGATGGAATTGTCGCATAAGCGCCGGAATCCCAAACTGTTTGCCTTCAAAGACCACCCAGTTCCGGGATTTCCAGATCCGCCACAGGACTGCAACAACCGCCATAACCAGCGAGGGTTGGTGGATCAACTCCAACAGACGCTTGAGAAACAAAGGGAAAATATGGCGGGGCAAACCCTCGCCCAGATATTCCAGCCCTGAATAGTCCCAAATAGCCCGCGCAACCGGGCAGTAAAGAAACAGATGCTCCATCGTTTCCGGGCCATTCCAACAGACTGGACAACGGGGCAACACCGGGACCTTTTTTTCAATAAGCGCCTCCGTAGTAGGAAGAGTCCGATTAAAAATTTGCCATACAAAAACCTTCAACTTCGGGGGAATCTTAGCTTCCCAGACCCTGATCCAGCTTTTTTTATCCATCCAACTCACCGCAGACCTCCAACCACCCCTCCTCCTGTCCAGATCCACAGCCAAGTAATAAGCGGACTTAACCGAGAAAACTCCATCTGCCGTGTTATGCCAAATGAGCTTGTCTGCAATATTCCGCCGCGGAAGAGGAATAGTTTGAATGGCTGTGCAGGTCGAAGGGTCAAACCATTGACTCAACTTCGCATCAGACCACCGACTTTCCCCTTCGCAAATAAGCTCCGCCACCAATGGATCACCCTCACCGGGCAGGACCACCAGATTATAACACGGGGGGTCAAGCTGATACCCAGGGATCCAGTTAGAATGGATAAGAGAGGCCGATTGGCCATTACCAATCTGCCATCGCAACCCCCCTCACCAATAACTGGCGTCCAAAAAGAATACTTTGCCACCCCCAAGAGGGACGTGATCTGGCTGTCGCAGTAAGGAACGAACCACGAGGAAAATATTTCCCTTGATAAACCTGGGCCAGAAGGCATTGAGGGTCGTGAAGAATACGCCAGCTGATAACGATGTAATTGCACATGTTTGCGCCCCTAGTTCTTATCCGTTTGAGGGGCATAGTCGTGTCTTGTGGCCTATTTTACGCCGGGTTGTGCTATTTTGTCATGTTTCAGGTCCCAGGTGTCAAAGGGAAGGCTAAGCGCGAGTTTCGAGGCATTCGGAAGTCATTTCGGTGAGCTGGAGCCAAAACACGGGCAGCCTAAGGCATTACACGGCCGTGTACTGCTGGCCGTGCTTTTTATGCCGAGAGCAAATTCAGTTTGGCCAATTCAGCTGCAAACACGGGCACCGAAGCAGGGCCGTGTTCAGTCAAAGCACGGCCGTGTACATTGCGAAGCACGGCCGTGTTTAACCCACTTGTTGGCCGTGTAATTAAGCCCTGGCCGAGGCACGGGCGGAGTCAGGCAAAGCACGGCCGTGCCCTCGACCGTGCTTTGGCCACTGATGCTTTTAAGCAGATTTTCAGCCACAACTCAGGGGGATTCGAGTTTTTGAGAGAGAGATCAGTTCCTAGAGAGAGAAAGTGACGAGCAAGAGTTCCCAAGTGCCCTAGATTGATCTTCAACACCATTGGAGGCTAGCTTGAGCTTGGAGAGGTGCCAATCAACGTCTAGAAGCAGGAATCCATCCTTCGCAGTATGAATTCCGTGTCTGATTCTGCTTTTGCTTTCTTCTCCATGGAGTAGTTCTCCCATTCATCTGGGTATGGAGAACCCTAGATTTTTATGTTAGGCTTTGATTGTATGAACCCAAGTACTGATTCTATGATTGATTATATTCGATTGAGGTTTTAATGATTGAATGACTTGAATCCTGATCAAATTCCTGTTGTTTCTGCTTTGACCTAGAATGAGAATATCTGCATAGGTTAATAGAGTATCCTTGATTGAAGGTAGGGAGTTGGTGACTTTAGTCGAGGAGCCAACTCACTATTCTGTACCGGATTTACTCCGGTAGTGGAGGTTTTGTTCTTAGGGCCTCAATCTGTCGACTCCGGTGGAGGTTAGTCGCCCGCTAGAGAGTCAGATTGAGAGGGTCTGAAGACCTTTAGTCGAGACTTCAGGCTGTTTAAGAACCTTCCGCAGTATAACTGTCATAGAAACTGAACTTGGTAATTACAATCCGGCTTAACTGCAGTCTAGGGGGAACCATATCCGGGTGACCTCTTTAACTTGAATACAACCAGTTTACTTGCTTTGTTAGTTTGTTAGTTAGACTTGCATTCCAGTTTCATTGCTAGATAACAAGAATTCACTGAGTAGTCATCAGATCTAGGACCCGGGTTGACATATAAACCTAAACCCGCTATACTACGCTTTAGGGAGTGGTTGCACTTGGCCAATTCCTAGGGTGACAGTAGAGTCGAGTCACCAGCCAATCTTAGCTAACACCGCTTGGTTAAAATGCTCAAACTCGCGAAATCCCATCCCTCCCTCATGCTTACTCCTACACATATTCGGCCAAGACACCCATCGGATCTTAGGTTGACCCTCCTCAGCCCCCCACCAGAATCTAGCCACAAGTTTATCAAGAAGCTGACACAGAGACAATGGGAGCCTGAAACATGACATCACATGCAAAGGCAGGGCCAACGCGATGGATTTAATTAGAGTTTCCTTCGCAGCCCATGATAACGTCCGTTGTTTCCAACCTTGAAGCCTCTCTATTAGCTTCTCCTCCAGATATCTGAACGTTGCCATTTTTGATCTGGCCACCAGCGACGGGAGCCCGAGATATTTGTCATGGACCCCGACAGCACCAACCCCGAGAATCGTGGCTAAGAACTCCTAATCGGGCAGGGAAACATTCTTACTAAAGCATACTGCAGACTTTCCAGGTTAACACATGACCACTAAGCTCCTCATACTCATTCAGAACCTCCAGTAAATTCTCGCACTCCTGAAGCGAACCTCGCAGGAATAAGTAGAAGTCATCCGCGAAGAATAGGTGAGAGACTCTTGGTGCCCGAGGAGCCACCTTTACCCCTCTAATTTCTTCTCAGAGATCGTCTTCCGGAGGAGTGCCGCAAACCCTTCCGTGCAAAGCACAAACAGAAGAGGGGATAGCGGATCACCCTGGCGAAGACCCCTAGAGGCAGAGAAATACCTAGAGGGTGAACCATTCATCAGAACCGAGAAAGAGGAGGACCGAAGACACTCGTGAACCCACCCTTTCCAGATCGAGTTAAAACCCATCTTATCCAGAACCGCCAGAAGAAAGGGCCATTCGACTCTATCATAGGCCTTTTCCATGTCAACCTTCAAAGCCATATACCCCTTCTTCCCTTGCTTCTTAATTTTAAGATAGTGCATTAACTCATGCCCAATAAGGATGTTATCGATAATCTGACGGTCTCGAATAAACGCATTCTGCCCCTCCGAGACAATTTGGGGGAGCAGACCAGCAAGACGTTCAACCATAATCTTGGTAATAATTTTATAAACAAATTGACAAAGACTGATCGGACGCAGCTGCCTATATTTTCCACAGAATCCACCTTAGGAATCAGGGTTAGCCATGTATGGTTAAAGCTCCGCAGCATCTTACTCGAAGAAAAGAATTAGATAACTGCTTCAACCACCGAGTCTCCCACTACATCCCAAAATGCTTTGAAAAACTCCCCAGTGAAGCTATCAGAGCCCGGGGCTTGCTTTGATCCCATCGCAAAGACCGTCTTCCGAACCTCACTTGGCAGCACCTCTGCCGTTAAGTGCGCATTCATTTGCGGGGTGACATTGTGGGCAATCGGCAGACCAGCCACCCTATCTGCCATGTTTTGAACCTGTGTCTCTGAGGTGAACAGGGCCTGATAGAAATTGGTAGCAATGGCAGCTTTACCATTTTCCTCCGTGACCCATTCACCATCATCATTCTGAAGCCCAGCGACAAAGTTATTTTTCCGTCGAACACGAGTAACCGTGTGGAAATAGGCAGAATTCTGATCACCTTTCTTTAACCAACGAACCCTGGATTTCTGTTGCCAGTAGATCTCTTCTGCTTCCCATTGGTGGGACAGCTCCGACTCCAGCGTTTTCACCATATCCCAGTCCACCGGATGGGTCGATTTAATTCGGTCAATCTCAGCCTGAAGCGTCTTAATATTACGCAGTGAATTCGTAGTGCCCGCCCTGCTCCAGTCATATAACAAATGCCGCAACTTTTTTAGGCGTTCCCAAAGCCGGAACATAGGAGTACCCTGAACCTCTTCACTCCAGACATAGTGGACCATGGCCCGAACTTCCGGATTGTCGGCCCAACGGGCATCAAAACGGAATAGAGGCCGACCGGTCCTACTATAAGGTTTGTCCGAAAGGAGCAGGGCACGATGATCCGAACCCTGGTCCGTAAAGTGTTTCACCAGAGTCTCCGGGAACGCGTCCATCCAGGCTTGCGAACAAAGCGCCCTATCCAGGCGTTCACGAATGCATGTTGCACCCATACGCTTATTCGTCCAGGTAAATTGATCCCCTTGGAATCCCGGGTCATGGAGCCCCAGATCATGAACGAAATCACGAAGGCTAGCAGCCGGTGCAACACTCCACTCCCTACCCCCATCTTTTTCACTCGCCAGGAGCGTCGTATTGAAGTCACCAATGATCACATAAGGTAGGGCAATAAGACCACAAATTTCGCGCAGGTGAGACAATTGAACAGCACGCTCAGCAAGATTACAACTAATGTAAACAAAGAACACCACATAAGAAAAACCTTCCTCATTAACTTGGGAACAAATAAAGAAACTGGAATGAAACAACACCGAAGTGTCAACTCCATGGGACCAAGCCACAACTAAACCACCTGATGCATCAACTGCATCTACAAAGAAACAATGGGAAATATCAAAACCTAACCCCCGCATACGGCGGGCAACTACACGACGGCTCGATCGCGTCTCCGAGAAGAACACGAGATCCGGTTTATTAGAATACACAAGATCGACAGCAGATTGGAATGTGAGGGACGGTCCAATTCCTCTCACATTCCAGGCGAGTAGCCTCATTTATCAGACTGGGGCCCCTTATGACTGGCTTCCTCCACCTGATTCAGATTCTCTTCATCCTCCACAAACTGCTTCTTTGGAACGGGGTTATCTCCCAACTCTCCTCCCATTGCATCCAATGGCCGTTTGCGCGTCCCAATAGTTGGGTTCATAAGGTTCGACCCGTACTCATCCAGCTGCGGGGCACCGTCCTGGACCTCACCCTGGATACTCCGTTCCGGATCAAGTGATAATTCCTGCGGCTGCAGGACAGGCTCCTGATCATCAGTGATATCCATACCAGCCTCAAAGGCTGCGACTACCTGGTTCACATGTCCCCTTGGTATAGCTATATTATGATTCGTCATCTTAGCAGTAGAAGGCCGCCTTTTAATTTCAAAACATTGAGCCTCTTCCTCCGAATCAGAGTCTGCCAACACCAGGGCCCGGATTTTTCCTTCACTTGGACCAGAGCCTTTGGCCGGCCCAATAGGCACACCAGCCCGCTGCATCCCGACCTCCCCTACTGGCCCACGCATGGGAGAGGGGGAAACCTTCTTCGGAGGCCCAGCTTTTCTCAGCCGGCCCTTCTTCCCTGCATTGGCCGCATCTAGCCTCGGGCGGGCTGGCCCATCACCCAGCTTTAGTGCCCGGCCCACCTCGGCTTGGCCCATGCCCCCTGAGCGAACAACACCGGTTAATTGGACTCGGCCCGCCACAGCAGCAGCTGCAGTCCCCAGCACTCCCTCCACGCCGCCATCACCACCTTGCATCGGCCCGAGCTTTCTTCCCCCAGTTTCCTCTGCGATCGGCGGCCGATCGATCTCCAACGCATCATCGTCAAGGTCAGCCTCCAGTATGAGTCTTCGGCGCCGGGTAAGAACAAAAGTATTATGACTTTGTTTCCCCATATCAGAAGAACCTGCGGTATACCCTCCATTGTGCTCTCCAGCCATCTTACTCTGCTCCGGGTTCTGCCTCTCTTTCCCCCGCAGGACATTTCTTTTCCTACGCTCGCCCCCAATTTGGATTTTGGGTGATTTCTTTACAGTGAATCCACGGGGGCTGTTCTTGCTACCCGACAGTTTTGGAAACTCTAATGCCTGCACCCTTGGACCCGATTGACCGGTTCTTTCATTGGAAGGCTGTTGGCTTTCCCCAACTCCCATGTTGGAGTTTTGTCGCTTCTCATCACTTTCACGAATATACGTCCGAGGCTGATGCGCCGGGCCAGCTAGCTGGCGATTCACCCAGACCGACTTCCGAGGACCACCAAGCTGATGACCGTCGCCCTCTTCCTCATAGACCTTGCGCCCCACTTTTTTGTCGACATATGGGGGCCAAATCGCTCCCTTCCACTTGGCGGGTCAAATGAACACTCTCGACGCGAGTGGCCTACCCGACCACAGTGGTAACAGAAGTTGGGGAGATATTCATATCGCAAGTTCACCCAGAAGCAGCCAATGTCATCATTAGAGGCATAGAGCTGGGAGCGGAGAGGTTAGCAAAGTCAATGATTGTACGTACTTTGATAAACCGCTCCCTGTTTCTTTGCAGGCGAAAACATCAGCTTCCAGCACTTGCCCAATGGCCGAAGATACCATTTTGCGTCCAAAAAGTTTGGTACAACAGTCCTCTTTCACGCCCCAGAGTTGGACGCGAAATGGCGCCACTGATAGTTCTTCAAAAATTGGTCTTGAGATCGAGGAGGTCCAGGATCGCAGACATAGGATTCTGTCTTTTATGACCCAAGGAGATCTCTTCAGCGCCCAGTTTTTCGCTTCCTTGTTGGGCATCATAATTTCAAACAAGTCATGGTTGACTTTGGAAACTTTCACCCGCCCTTTGATTTGCCACGCATCAATCACTGCATCTCGTAGCTCCAGGGTAGAGAACTGCTCGGAAGTGAGCAATCTCCCCAACATCGAACGTGCTGCACAGATTTTCGTGGATAGCACCTCGTCCATTGAAAACTGGAACACTTGGTCGTGCGACACATGCACCATGGCTCGGTCCTGACACAAAGAAACAGGGTATACGCAAGGGATCATGTGAAAAACATCAGGACTCATGGTCATTGAGGTGGGAACTTTTATATCGAAGGCAAAATCAGTTTCTATCATTCGCAGTTGATAAGGGGCGGCCATAGGCAAAAGAGAGGGGCTGGGAACCTCTTCACGATTCACCATACCTGGGTTTTGCTTAGCCGCACTTGGAGGGAGAAGGAGAGCTGCACTGCTGGTTTCACCCCGATTCTTTATGCTTTGGAGGCGGTGGTAGAGCAGGCGCAACAAGGGGGTATAAATAATGAGAAACGCAGCAGTAGCTGCTTCTCTAGAATCAGCCGTGAGACCAATCTCACTGTTATCAATTGGAGTTCTAGTAGGAATGGGAGACCCAACACAATTGGGAGACCTACCACAACTCGGCAGAATACGGTTATGTGCAACGAGAGGGACCCGAAGATTTCTCCCCAGCGCCCACAAAGAATCCGGACTTGATCTTCGAAGACCAAGACGGTTACGATTCGTCCGAACCCCACGCCCTGGAGGATTGCCCTTTGTCGGCGGTGATCCCCACAGGCCGCCGGCGGGACTACAAATTAGCGGATTACTTCCATTTTTCACCGGCCACTTCACATCTGGTTTTTGCTGGGCATTTTCCTAAACCAAACGTGCTCGAACAGGAGGACTAGGCATCGGATCAGAGGCCTTTCTATTAGGTTGCGTTCTGATCTCCACTGTCCCAGGCTGATGCAACAACGATTCCTCACTCCCCAGGTCGAGAGTCGGAGGGAGCCAGAACCGCCAGCCCTTCAAAGGCTGAACTCTTACTTTCTTGGGACGAGGCTCCGGTGGGCATTCATTTTCCCCCCAAACCAAGTCTATTTTTCGTTTGTGGAGCAAGCATACCATTTCGTGCTTCCTCTCATAGGGTCCCTCTGCATAAACCGATCTTTTGCCCAGAGGCACAATCGGATGTCTTACGAGCAAGGGAGGTGTCCCAACTTCCCTCCGAGAGACGGCGGGTCTGCATCTGCTTGATTGTCGACTCTGTGCACTGGCCGTGACTCCATGCAAGACGGATTGTTGGTTCTTCACACTGGCCGCGAACAGAGAGAAGACTCCCTGTATGAGGCAATTGCCGATCCAGAGAACAAGAGCGAGGAGAGAGGACAGAGCGTCTCTCACCATTTTTTTTTCGCCAGCTTTATCCTTATATGTGCATCTATTAACTCTTAATAATTTTTAGAAATTTTTGGCCGTAAATCTATATAATGGGTTTTTTAGTCTATCAACCATTATTTCGTTCTTTTTTGAACGCAACAGTAAAACAAAAGATGGCAGCTGATTTAGTGTTTGCGTAGCAATATCACCCTTATTTGGAGCAACAATATTATAACAACTATTTCTAACACATACTTATTAAAAATAATTAGCAACAATAATAATTTGTAGACTAAAAATGTCAAAAATGCAAAATCATTGTCTATTATCTTCTTCTCTAATATATGATATTTGGCTCTTCAAAAAAAAATTCTACTTTTCGACTTAGAAAAACTTTTGTTGAAGTCTTATTGCGCTTTACAATGACACACAAGAGGCTTAACAAGTTAGCTATGCCGGCGATTGAAAATAACTTTTCCGATGATGCATAGATGGAATAGCTAATAGATGATTTTATTTAAAATAATACTAGTTGGTTGTTACTTTTAAACAATGATCGATGATATTATTACTTCTGTAATCATTTTATGAACTTATGTATATTTTATTATTAGCTAATAATTTTTAGGGCCACATTCTAAATTTTGACAGGGCCTCCGAATAGCATGGGTCGGCCTTGGTTTGACGTTTCAATGGGGTCATAGGAGGGAGTTGGATGCTTTTGATTGTTGCAGTTGCTCTTCTGCCCATCTCTCAGTTCATCATAACTCTCTGAGGTGTATGCCAACACGGTCCTAAAAGAGAGTTGTTTCTGAGTTGCTTCCTGTATATCATTTTGATTGTTGTTCTTGAAGCAAGAGACATATCTATGGGGTCCTATATGGAAGTTATAAATAGTTTACTTGTCTTCTGCCCTATTTTTTATATATATTTTGGTGGTTGTTTGGTGGTATAAGCTGATGGGTCCTAGAAGAGAGCTATGACTATCATTTATTGCATTGGTGGCTATTCCGTGACATACAATAATGGGGTCCTAGAAGTAAACTATGGCATGTTTAGTTGTCCTTCTGCTCTATTTATTGCGTTGGTGGCTATTTCGTGACATATAATAATGGGGTCCTAGAAGGAAACTATGGCATGTTTAGTTGTCCTTCTGCTCTATTTTTTATTTTGATGGAAGCTTCGTGGTATATGTCGACGGGGTCCTGATTCGGGCCTAATTGTACATGTTTTGCCCCCGTTACACTTAGGTGTTTGTGCCAAATTCGCTCCTAAAAGGTTGGTTTTATGCTAGGTTTCTCGTGTTTTAGTGTGTTTCAGGATTTAACAGGTGAAACCAGCCTCGGAGTCGAAAGTTGGGCGAAAAGGATAAAAAACCGGGAGAAGAGGTGAAAAAGGGCCAGTTCACGGCTAACCAAGGAAGTTCACGGTCTTGCATGACCGTGAAGAAGAGCCCTTGACCATGAATCACAAGGCGTCCAGAGCCAAAATGGAGGTTAATGACGCAAGGTGAGTTCACGGTCACTAACACCCTGAACGAAGGCTGTTGACCGTGAACAAAAGAGATCGATGCGGTGCATTTTGGCGCACGCCTGCAGTTCACGGACACGTTTCGTGGTTCACGTGTTATGGTGATGTGACGTAGGGGGATGACATTTTTAGGGTTTTCTCGTAAAAGGGGATAAATCGCAAGAACTCACAAAAGAAATAACTAAGAAAATAGCAAATAAAGAACAAAAGCTAACTATTGGGTTCCAATCTTCTTATCATTAAACGAACGAAACAAGTACATATTTATAGGCACAAAGCCTCTACCTTTACCTATCTAGATTATGACTCATAAACCTCTAAGGATAGTACTAACAAATAACCAAATCCTATACAAACAAGAAAAACAATAATAAAGACAATAATAATAAAAGCACAATAGTGTACTAATAATAAAATACTAAAGATACGCAAGCCCCATCTCCTACGAAATGCTACGATGGCCCGATCTCGTAACATCCCTCCCCCTTAAAAGAACCTTGTCCCCAAGGTTTGTGGGATAACCAAACCCACTTCAACCGGGATCGATGTAAAAGAACCTCCCTCGTAGTTTGTCATCGACGGTCGTGGACGTTTGACGATACAACCGCTTTCAATACTTCCAGTTGCGCTCGATTATCCGGATCACGCTTCTATCACCGAATACATCAGCTTCTTCCACCTTACCGTGCATGGGGTGGAAGGTCCACCATTGTCCATTTTCCCCGAGCCATTTCCCACGCAAGCCTCCACCCTTGATACGTACATATGCATGGAAGAAGGCCATTCCCACGAGCCTCTTGTCTACTGGCCACCCTTGCAACCCACCGGTACCAATTCCCTTCTCTTTCCTGTAATTTACGAACTGCTTCTTCACCTCTCGTTCCCAACAATACTCCTTCCTCTCGCATTTAATTATGGTACCGCTGGCTGCGCTTTGTCTTCTAACTTCGGAACTCACCACAGCAACTTCACGATCCTCCTGCTTTCTCGGTCCAGCCCTAAACAACGAGGCTCTGGTTAATCCGCCCATTCGTTGCCCAAGGCCCACTCGAATCCGCCTTCTATTCCAAACAGAAGCAGGTCTGAGCTCTTGCTCACGGACGACATTTGGCGGCCCAATAGTTTGTCCGGCTCCTCGTGATCCCTGACCTAGCACAGCCGCCGACCCGTCATCGTAATTGTCACTTGCCAAACGTCCCCAGCCATGCCCGGCGACAACCCTCCCTGACGTACCTGTTGGGATGAATAGCCTTGAAAAGCTATAAATGAAATTCCTAATTAATTATCCAGTATTTTCCCATAATACATAAATAAGATGGATAATTAATAAAAGGAATATTATGGAGATAATTAGGAATAATTATCTTAATAGATTATATTTTAATTATGGGAGTAATTATCTCCCTAATTAAAATGTGACTTATTCCCAAAGAAAGAGGGAATATTCCGGGTTTTCTGCTCCTATAAATAGGAGACTACCCAGACCCTCTAAACACACCTCAGAAGAGCAGAAACAAGAGAGAGAGAGTGAATTCATAGAGCTCCGGTTTTTCGCACAAAATCGATGAGCAAGAAAACTAGAATGGCTGTTTTATCCTGGAGGCGACCGGCTGATAGTCTGCTGTGCGCAATACGAGGCAGTGCCGCGAACGTCTTAAAGAGAGCGACCTAGTCCGCGACTCAGCCAGATCGGTAACCCTAATTTTTCTGTTCGGTTTCTAACAATTTTAAGACGTTTGGTTGCTGTCGTATATACTGAACAGGATATCAATTTGATCTCGACCGATTATGGCGTTCATGGTCGCTCTATTCATCGGATCTATTACTTCCGTCTGCCCCTTTCGGTGGAACCGACTGCTTTTGAGAGCTAAGTGGACGATTATGAATTCCTTTTGTTTGTTAATTGTCCGCTTTTGATTCGGTTTCAACTAATACTTCCGTATGAGTAATGGATACTTTAGCACCATAGAGAGAAAGGGCAGGATACTTATACGGAGAAGGAGCAAAGCTTGGATTAATGGAAGCCACTCAATTTCTATCTTAGGGTTTTGCTTGTGATCTAATTAATTCATGTCCATGCAAATGAATCGTAAGCCTAGATGAAAATTCCTCCCTAATTCCACAGTGGAAGAAGCAGCACGTGATGAAGCTTGTTGGACTCCATGGATGAGTTACGCTGGACAAGTGGCGGGTTGCATTTGTGATTGGAGGAGAGAAAAGAAGGGAGTGATTTTGTGCCCTTCTCAATATAATTTCGCGAGTGTTTTTGTGCCCTGATTCAATTGTCCATTAATCATTCCTGTGCAAATTGGAATTGACTGTTTTTTCCACAAGGCTCGAGATTTACTTAATGCCCTCAATTTTTTTGCGGCTAATGGTGTGCCACGGGAAAAGTACATGTCAAGTGGTATACCGCTGCTTTTATTGTTGCACCTGCTTACCTTACAACTTGTTTTCCTTGAAGCTGATTCGAGCAAAGAGAAAGAAGTTCCGGATTAATCACATGCATTGTGGAAGGGAACTATATCCAAGACGAAGGGCAAAGTTTCGAATAGAACGAATTGAAACAAAGCTTTGGGGGACGAAAGAAGTGGCATTGGACGGAATAGAAGGCGGCTGTGAAAGAAGCTAACAGCTTCTGTTCTCAAACCCTAAGACTATTTCACTATGTTTTTGTTCTCGAACAGGAAAAGGGTGGAATCTAATACCCTGGGTGATTACATATCCACCGAGAGGCACAATTCGGATCTTCCTACCAGGCCATTATTCTATCGATGACCTTGTTGATTCGTTGGTCAAATTAATGCTATGGGCTGGGAGGCTAAGGATGTTGTTACTACTGGCCGGTGGAATAAATGGAAGTGGAACAAAGCAATCCATAATTTAAAGATGCCCCAGGTTTGGGTTGTTTGTGAACGACTTTGGGCTATTGCGACAAATCAAGGCCCATTTCGTATGCATGGAAGCTGTATGTACCACTGTACCAGGTATTTGTGGTTAGTTCAGAAAGCAAAGACTTCTTGAAAAGAGGTATTCCTAACTTTTCACTTGAGTTATTAATAAATGACAAATTATAATCTATGTCATATGGATATAAGCATGGAATTGAGAATCCGTGTGAATGCTAGACAGGAATACTAGAACTGATGCATGATAATGGTACATTGAGATGATTTGAGTACAATTTTATGTACATTTGTGAAATAGAATGATTTTGTCTAAATGCATGCATATATGTGAAGAATATATGGGAATAGAATGGGTTTATTGCCCATAATAACGATATTATAAGAAGTACTACTATCAGTACTACCCGAACCACTTAGGTTGCTGTGAAACAGTAAAGTTTCAAGAATGAGAGCAGCAAACTGAACCAGATCCACACCAATTAGAATGGTACCCTATGTGGTAACCATAAGATTGTCACCCAATCCTCTAAGAATGACGTTATGTTTCTCTGTTAAATTCGTGAGAAACTAGGTCATAAGACACGAAAGTGTAAGAACAAGTTTAACCTAGTGTTAACTTGACTAAAGAAGAGGATTTGGTAATAATATTCACTGAGGTGATGACAGAGGTTAGCCTTAATGGTAACTCTGGAGAATGGTTGTTGGATAGGACCGCTTCAAGATATGTGTGATAAACGAGCTAAGCTCAATCATACATTGATGCGTATTGAAGGAGAAAGTGTTGTTGGGCAAGACCCTCATCACTATTGTTGATGGTTCTGGAAAAGTGGAAGAGAACCCTGCCTCTAGAAAGTCATTAACTATCCTAGATGTAAGGAATGGTTAAGTAGATAAGATAAATTCTTCCAAGTGTGTCTGTGTGAAGAATTAGAATATCTTTTATCTCATTCCCATATTATTATTGGATGCTTGAGAAAAATATGAATTTTCTATATCCAAGCTAAATGACCCATAAATATGTGATTAGAGAATCAGAATAAATAGATCTGATTTATGTGGGTAAACTTGATAGAAAAGACAATAAACAATTAATTGCTCTTTAGAGTGCTCTGATTGATTGTCTAACTAGTTATTTGAAATGGTTTGAAATGCCTAGTTGCATTATGATTGCACTGATTATTCGATATGTGGCATGCATGTGGTAGCGTTAGAGAATCAGTGTAACATGATAACTAGAAGAGCATATGAGTGTGTTTTATGTTGTTAACAATAAAAACACATAGTTCCTATGAAACGAAATACTCATGTTGTTGTGAAATCCTGACCTAGCACAGCCGCCGACCCGTCATCGTAATTGTCACTTGCCAAACGTCCCCAGCCATGCCCGGCGACAACCCTCCCTGACGTACCCCTACCGCACTCCGCTTCCCAGCGAAACTCCTCTTCAGCGCTTGTCTTGACAGCGGTAGATGACTCCACAACCGGCCGCTTCACAGGTGACATGATTGGACTCCTTGCCGGTGGCAATCGATCCCGCCTGGGACCTCTGTTTGCTGTTGCTTTTGGCTCGGGCTCAACTTCACTCGTCGTTGACCGCCGAGAGTCTCCCATCAAAACATTGCTCTGATCAACGGCGGGCTGCACAACTGTTACTGTCACCATCTCTCCTAGAGCTTCCACGATGTAGCGGAGTTGGCTCTCTAAATTCTCCAACCCAACTAGAAGCCGATCTTGGCCACATCGCAGCGTCTGTGGTACATCTTTCAAGCTTTGTAGGTCACCAACGAGCGCGCCATGGGCCTCCGCCAACTCCTCGGTATCCTGATTTACTTGGTGATAGCGTCGTATTTGCACAATGTTTTAACTCTTGTTTCCTTACCATTTTAGCTCGAATTTGTTGTTCTTTGGCCTATTTTACGCTAGGTTGTGTTGTCTTGTCGTATTTCAAGTCCTAGCAAGTAAAGAGGTGCATAGGCGCAAGTTTCGGGTCATTTGGAGGTCAGTTGGCAATTCAAGATGCAAATTACGGGCATCCCCTGCCCATTTACTAGCGTAATTGCTTCTGTCATGCCCGTAAATGCAATGCCAAGCCAAATTCTTGAGAGTTCCTGTCGCAGAGCAAATTACGGGCAAGAGTCAAAGCAACTACGGTCGTAATTCCTCTCATCAGTGTTAAGTGAAACGTGCGTTTTGGGCGAATTACGGGCAGACCTTGTTTACGACCGTAATTCAGCCCGTATTACGCCCAGAATCGGGGTTTTGAGGCAGATTCGAGCCAAAGGAGAGGGGGTCAACTTTTTGGAGCAAAAACAGAGTTTAAGAGAGAGAAAGTGCGAAGAACAAACCTTAGGAGCCATTTGGAGTGGATTTCTCACCATTGAAGCCCAGATTGCATCCCCAGAGTGAAGATCATCATCCCGGAGCAGATTATCCTCATCTTTATGAGTATGACTACTCTGATTTCTGTTTTCCTCTCTCTCTATGGAGTAGAACTTTCTCTTACTTGGGTATGAAGAACCCTAGTTCCATGTGTTAGGGATCTTGATTGTAATGACTTGGGATTATTATACTGATTTATTTTAATCGATTGATGCATGATTTATTGAGTCAATTGAAGTCTGATCATCTTTTCTTGATTTCTGCTGCAACATGAGATAGATAGCATTTGATTAGGTTGCTATAGCTTCATCAATCGGTAGTGGTAGATTGATTATACGAGATTTAATCGATTTACTGCTTTGTACTAGAACCCAATTCCAGTAGTGGAGTTCTGCGTTCATAGCCTCAGCTTTCTATCCCGGTGAAGACTAGTCGTCTGCCGGGTAGTTGGACTGAGAGAGCTTGGTCAGCTTAAGAGATTTCAACCTACAGTCGGACCTTTCGCAGTTTAATCAACAGTTAATCAACCCAGGGTAATTACAACTGTGACCTAACTAAGGAGCTAGGGGGACTCATTCCCGAGTGACTCTTCCCTTGCTTTAGAAAACCGAACCAATTCTTGCTTTCTTACTGGTTTTAGTTAAACTCACAATCACTCGACTTAGTTTGCTAGATAATAGATATTCACGGAGTAGGCAGTAGATCTAGACCCCGGGTTGACAAATAACGCTTGCCACTTACTGCATTTCCAGACTGCGATTGCACTTGGTCGTAGTTTGGTGTTTTGTTTTAGCGTGTCAAGTTTTTGGTGGCGTTGCCGGGGACCCTCTAGGTTATTGGGGAAACATGAAAGTTTTTTACTCTAGTTTTTTCTTTACTGCATTTTCTCTCTTCCACCTGTGTGCCTTCACGGGTTGCTTTTGCTGATTGCGTGCAGGTACTGCATGACCCGTAGCCAGTCGGGAGATTTACTACCATTAGACCAAGAGCTTGAACGGACCTGTAGGAACTTCAAGTGGGCTCTAAAGGCGCGACTGGCTGCGGATGGGTGACCCATAGGACCATGATGTGGTCTTTCCCGAGGAGCAGACCATGGGGTATTACTGGACCGCCAGAGCCACGGACATGAGGTCGCCCATTCAACACCCTCATGTTCCAGCGAATAACTTTGAGGCGAGCACCTCTGTCATCACCATGCTGCGCGGTTCGGTGGTATTCTGTGGCAAGGAGGGGGAGTGCGCCCAATCACACCTGAGGCGATTCCACGAGCTCATCGATGGGATAAAGATCAATAGGGTCCCAGCCGATGCAATCCAGCTGAGGTACTTCCCGTTTACTCTGGAGGGGCAAGCCAAGGAGTGGCTATACACTCGATCTCCAGGCTCGATCACCACGTTCGCCAACCTGGCGGACAAGTTCTTTATTCGCTACCATCCTCCGTCCAAGACGGCGGACCTGTAGAAGCAAATTACCCACTTTGCTCAAGACGAAGATGAGACCATTCGGGATGCTTGGGAGAGATACACCAGTCTCTTCCTCAAGTGTCCCAACCATGGTTTTACCGACGCCTTCAAGGTGGACACCTTCTATCATGCCCTTTTCCCGGAAGACAAGCAGCTGATTGACTCGGTCTGCGGCGGGAATATGCTCACCAAAACACCGCCACAGCTGAATCAACTTTTTGAAGAGATGGCAGCAGGGGCGGAGCTACCTTGTGCCTCGGCCCCCCCCCCCCCCCCCGCGAGAATTTTGGAGATCGCGTGTAAAAATATCGGGAATTTTGAAAATTCTGAAGAAGTTAACTATTTCAGAATAACAATAACGTGCAATAATGAGTAACAATGTCTCGGTCTAGTCTAACCGAATGCAGCAATTGCTTGGTATTTGTGAATACCCAGTACCATGGTTCAATCCCTGGCAGCAACATTTGTTTTTTAGTTTTCCTACTTTGGTTGAGTTTTTGTTTAAAATTTAGACTGATCACTAAACTTTTGTACTTATTCAAATACTTTTTAATTTCAAAGTTCAAACTAGATAATGAAATTTTGGAGCTTAAAATATTTTTCTAATTTAGATAATTAAATTTCAGAGTCTAGATAATTAAATTTTGAAGCTTATGATTCACTATGTAAATATTAATTTTTTAACTGATATTATACAATAAAGTCCGGCCTCCCGACCACCAGATCCTAGCTCCGCCCCTGGATAGCAGAGTAGGGCTATGATTGGGGAACTGCGAGGAGATCGAGACGAGCACCAGGGCGGGGTGTCCATGCTGTAGCCACCCAGTCATCTAATTTGGTGCAGGTGGTATCAAAATTGGTTTAAGCCATCGATCGCTCTGGGATGATTGCAGGTACAGGACAGCAGCAGGCGATGCACTGCCAGTGGTGTGAGAGCTCCCATCACACCGTGGAGGACTGTCAGGCGATGAGGGAGTCGTCTACCCCCAGGAGCAGGTGGACTTCATCGGCTATGCTAGGCGTTTCGACCCTACAACAACAATTACAACGAGGGGTGGCGCCAGCATCCCAACTTCTCCTAGGTTGGGGCCAATTCTAGACAACCAGTCCCCTAGGGACCACCAGGCTTCCAGAGGCCTCCCTACAAGCCCAGACAAGGGCAATTTCAGCAGCCACAACAACCTTTCTACCTGCCCAGACAGGGGCCAGTTCCACCTTTGTCACAGGTGCGACCATTTCATCAGTCAGGGGCAGCCCCAATACAAAGTGATCCGATGGCGGAATTGCGAGATCTGGTGGGTTCTCTGGCCACCTCCAGTGCAAACAAGTTTAATAATATCGAGCAGTTCTCTGGCCACTCCCAAGCTGTGCTGCGGGACATCCAGACCCAGCTTGGGAGTGTGGCCCAGGCTGTAGCCCAGAGGACTCCTTGTACTCTACCCGGACAGACCATCCCTCATCCGCAGGACCCAAATGAGCACTGCAAGGCCATTACTACCAGGATTGGCAAGATGACTGCTGATCCACTTGTTCGGGCACAAGAAAGAGAGACCACTGCTTCAGCACTTCCAGCTAATGAGGAGGAAATGGAGAAGGAGGTTGAGGTGCCTACTCCTAAAACGCAACCAGTGGTGAAGGAGTATGTACCGCAGCTTTCCTTTCCTACTCGGTTGCACAAAGACCGACTGGAGACTGAGTTTTCCAAGTTCAAGGCAATGCTGAAGCAGGTAAATATAAGCATGCCCTTCGTGGAAGCATTATCGAAGATGCCCAAGTATGCCAAGTTCATGAAGGATCTCCACACTAACAAGAGGAAGCTTGGGGAGCTGTCAACGGTGATGCTTAACGAGGAGTGTTCTGCCATCCTGCAGAACAAACTACCAGAGAAGCGAAAAGACCCAGGGAGTTTTACTATCCCTTGCATGATTGGAAGTTTGCATATAGGAAAGTCCTTGGCGGACTTAGGCGCTAGCATAAATGTCATGCCATATAAACTGTTTAAATAGCTAGGCCTTGGTGAACCCAGTGATACTAGGATGAGCATTCAACTTGCTGATAGATCCATTATGCATCCTAGGGGCATCGCAGAGGACTTGATAGTCGCAGTAGGGACATTCTCATATCTTGTTGATTTTGTGATTTTGGATATAAATGATGATGTGGATGTGCCTTTAATATTGGGTAGACCTTTTCTCGCCACCGCCAAGGCGCTCATTGATGTGAATGATGGGAAATTGATTTTGCGAGTTGGGGGTGAACAAATCACCTTCTATGTTTCTGATAATACGAAACACCCCAAGCTCCATGATGATCTAGACTACTATGATGTTATTACTGATTTTGAGACCGCATTCGCCATCACGAGTGCGGGTACTGACGATTCCTCGAGCGTTGTCTTTTGCTAGGGGAACAGGCATCACAGGATGTGCAGCTGGAGGAGTAGCTCGTGGAGCTAGACGAGGCCGCGATTGAGGGGCGAGAGATACCATTCAAGCCGATCCCTATCTCGCCCCGGATTGCCACATCATTGGAGGAGCTGCCAGAGCTGGAGCTTAAGCCCCTCCCCTCTCACCTGGAGTATGCATTTCTCCGGGAGGGGAATAAGCTCCCGGTCATTATCAGCTCGGACACCCGAGCAGAAGAGCAGGCTGGTGGCTCTGCTGCAGAAGTATGACCGGGCCATGGCATGGAAGATAACAGATATCAGAGGCATTAGCCCATCCTTCTGCTCCCACAGAATTCTGATGGAGGATGAGGTTAAGCCAGTCAGGCAGCCACAACGAAGATTGTCTCCCAACTTGGAGGCAGTGGTCCGGCAGAGATTGTGAAGCTAATCAATGCAGGGATCATCTTTGCTATATCTGAAAGCAAGTGGGTCAGTCCCACTCAGGTGGTCCCTGAGAAAGGCGGGATGGCTGTGGTCCCAAATGAGAAGAACGAGATGATCCCGATGCGGACCGTGATCGGCTGGAGAGTCTGCATCGATTGCCGGTGCCTGAACGATGCCACCAGGAAAGACCATTTTCCCCTGCCTTTCATTGATCGGATGCTGGAGAGGTTGGCTGGCCATGAGTTTTATTGCTTCCTGGATGGCATGTCTGGTTATTTCCAGATTCCTATCGCACCAGAGGATCATGCGAAGACCACATTCACTTGCCCCTTCGGCACCTTTCCTTACCCGAGGATTCCATTCGGGCTGTGTAATGCACCGACAACCTTCCAGAGATGCATGCTGGCGATCTTCGGCCGACTGGTCGGAGAGATCATGGAAGTCTTCATGGATGACTTCTCGGTTTATGGAGACTCTTTCACTCATTGTCTACATAACCTGGAACTCGTTCTGAAGAGGTGCGAGGAGACTAATCTGGCACTCAGCTGGGAGAAGTGCCACTTTATGGTCTGTGAGGGGATTGTGCTCGGGCACAAGATCTCCAAGTAGGGGATTGAGGTGGATCGCACGAAGATTGAGACGATCAGTAAGCTACCTCCTCCCATTTCTTTGATGGGGATTCGCAGCTTTCTGGGTCATGCAAGCTTCTACCGGCGCTTCATTAAAGACTTCTCGTAGATTGCCTTGCCTCTGACCAAGATGCTAGAGAAGGATGCACCATTCCAGTTCACTCCTGAGTGCACAGCTGCATTCGAGACACTGAAGGAGAAGCTTACCCATGCACCCATCATGGTGACTCCTGACTGGTCTCTTCCTTTGAGATGATGTGTGACGCGAGTGACTATGCAATCGGAGCAATTATGGGTCAGAGACGCGAGAAGCACTTCCAGTCCATCTACTACGCGTCGAAGACCTTGAACGATGCACATGAGAATTACACCACCATATCTGGTGCTCTCTCATGGTTGGATGCAGATCATCTTTCACGGTTGGAAGCCCCATCGGTGGACAACTTCGTGGAGGAGATCGATGACTCTTTCCCGGGTGAGCGATTGCTGGCGATGACATTGGTGGACAGCGTGGCCCCTTGGTATTCTGACTTTGCCAATTATCTGGTGGGCAAACAGCTACCAAAGGGGATGGACAAAATCTCATCGTCAAATTACTCCATGCAAACCACCCACGATTCACCTTAGTGATTCCACTTTGAATAATAGTGTATCATGTTGCTTGGGAAAACTCATTCTCTTTTAAATGATTTGTTTCTATCTATTTAGTATTTTACAAAATCATATAATTAATATCTTGCACATGTTGATGTATATTTTACATAGGGACAAAATAAAAAATCATTTACCGAATAAATAGCACAACAAACGAAATAAATCTCATTTAGATCGTGTATGATCCCGCAGCAAAGCGTGGGCCAATTTTTTAGTATTTCTCAAAGCTCTTATGGTTAAACAGATTTATAGAGAGCTGGCTTGAATGGTTTCATGTTGTCCATTAAGACAAGAGGGGAAGAATTGAAATTATGTTTTGGTGGTTGTTATTATAATTTGAATGTTGTGATGGAGTCCTGGGAGAGAGCTATGCACTTATGGGGTAGTGCACTTGCTCTTCTTGCCCATCTACTACTTCTGCCTGCCTGCCTGCCTGGTGTCTTGCCTCTTTTGAGGTGCTTTGTTAATATGGGGTACTAGAAGGAAACTATGGCTAGTCCGATCGAGTTGCCCTTCTGCCCTGAGTGTTGTTCCACCTGTCATGGTTACCTTAAAGTAGGTTTGTGCAAGTAGCTAGGGTCTTAGAAGGTAACCATGGCTGGTTTTATAGTTGCATATCTTCCCCATCTGTCATTTTTTGTTGTGCTCTATAAGATGAGGTACATGCCAATGATCCTAGGAAGTTATTACATGTCTTGGTTGCTCTTCTACCTTTGTATAACATACTTCAGGTTAATGCTCATCACCGTTTATAGCTGATGGGGTCCTGTGAGGGTAGTCTCAATTACTCTTCGATCTGCTTCATTTATTATATATGTTGGTGGATAGATCTCTGAGGTACGTACCTGGTGAACTAGATGACCAAGAGGTTGCATAAGATTAAGTACATTAACCGAAAACTGAAACTACCCACAACATATGGGAAATTGTCAAGACAGAAGCAACTGGTGTGAAGGAGCCTGTAGAATCTCTAGTCCGAAGGTCCTAATAATGGAAATGACTCTGCATAGTCGAGCAAGGTTAGCTTTCCTTGTGCATTATTTTGGGCGCGTTTATAGATGACTATCTAAGAGGCTGCATACCACAAAGGAGCCTCCATTACTCTGATTATACTTTTTGTTGCTATGAAACTTCAGTTACAAAAGTTACCCTTCATTTCTTTGTGATTAGGCACCTTACTGTTATTTGAATCTAAAGCTATTCAAGACTTGTTACATTTTTATGGTGCAGTGGAGTGTCAAAAAACACAGCGTGAAACTAGTTTATTAAGT